TTTCCTTTTAAACTCACTAAACTTGTTTTTGCCACAGGGTCTCTGTACTGCTTCTTCCTTCTGGCTGTGAATGTTTCCTATTTTAAAGTCTGCCTAGTTGTTAGGTAAGCTATGATGTTTATCTACCAAAGCAGACACTGGAAATTAGAAGTCCGGCTGGGTAAACATTAATACATCATGTTTCATGAGCTAAAATAGATGCTTCTATGCTCACCATTGTATCATAGTAGAGATAGTTATAAAACAAGAAGGAGCTGAAACTCTATTGACATAGAGGATAGGAAAGCTGTAGTGGATTGAATCTATGGTCTTTGAGAGGAGGCATATGGAAAATATTAGGATGAAAATAAAGAGAATAGGGGTCACTGAGCTAAGCTGAAAGATAATGTGAGGACCACAGTGTAGGGCAAAAGGCAGGCATGAAAGCCAGAAGAATCTCCCTGGGCCACTCCTCACTGTCACAGTTTCTGGTAGTTTCATTCAGCTAAGAGTATGACAAGTATCTGATAAAGTTTGATTCCTTGATGACTATTCTCAGTAATTATGTTAGACACTAAAATAAATAACTACTCTAATGTTAGGAAGCATACAGGTGTCTTATAGTTTAGGAAAGTATATTTCAAAACATATTAAAGGAACTAGGGACTGTCACAGAAGTTGGAATAGGTTGGCAGAGCTAGTGAAGCATGAGCAGGGAGGAAGAGAATTATAAGACCTTGAAGGTGGACTCATTCACTGAGGAGCTCCAGACACAAACTATAACAAAGGAGAAACATGGAGTGATTTTCCAGAATGTAGCAGCCAGAGCTGGAGAGTCTCTACTCTTGATGTTACCTGTTTTGTCTAGTAAGGGTATTTTTATACAGAGGTAGAAGACAAAAAAGGAAGAGAGAGAACCCCAACTTTGGAAATGTTATAAAATATTGACAACTGCAGAGATGAAGACAACCTAAGAGAGCTAGCTTGGTGACCTTCAGCCTCCACAGGATAAAGAGAAGGCTGCTAGAAGGCTTTGAAGGGTAGTCAATGACTTACCACCACATGAACTGGTATATCTCTCAACTCTCAGCAGAAAAGCTTCTTCTTGAAGTAAACAATTAATATAGAGACCCACAACTGGTCAATGTATAAACTGTGGAGGGCTGTGCCCTAAAATGGGCATCAATGTCATCCTGTATATCCCTAAAGGTTCAGTGGACATATACCCACAGGGAACAATGCTTTCTGGACACAACAGGGCAGTTGCACACATGAACTCACAGTCATTGGACAGCATTCACAAATTCTGAGCAAGTTCAAGCCAGATGTGATCCCATCAAGGAGGGAAGTCCCACCCCTAGCTGAGGAGATATTGGCAATTGATATCTGCTAGGAGAGGGAGAGTCAATTTTCTTTAAGGATATGACTCTTGGTAGGTCAATCATATTTAAAAACAGGCCTTAAATTCAAGAGTATTTAGAAGGCACTAATTAGTTTCCATGGATTGAAAAGTAAAGAAAAGAAAAGAAGAGAAAAGAAAAGACGAGATGAAGATGGGTACGTGTGGAGGTGGAAAGGATCTTGGAAGAGCTGCAGGAAAGCAAATGTGATCAAAATATACTGTATATAATTCTCAAAGAATTAACACATACAAATGTACAATCACACATATATACATATACATATACATACATACATATATATGCATATATGATATCTTTGAAGTTAGGAACTAGTTAGATTATGTATTAAAGATATCTTTGTAGTTTAGGGGCAAATAGGTGGCTCAGAAGTTAAGAGCACTTGCTACTCTTTCAGAACACCTGAATTTTGTTCACAATACCCACGCTGGATGTTTTACAAATGTTTGTAACTCCAGTTCTTGGGAAAATGACACCCTTCTAGCTTCCAAGGGCACCTACATGCAAGTATATGCATATACACATATTCTCACAGATACACATAAATAAATAATAAAATAAATCTCAAAAAGAGAATGCTATGAAGGTTAAAATAGAAAAGGGGTGGTCTGAAAGGATATACATGTTTACATGAATCCAAACTGTTAGGTTAGAGAAATTGTATTCAATTACAATAGGATAGGATATTATATTTAGTAATCTTTCTGGACTTAATGCTGACTCAACCACTAATAGTCAACTAGAAAAGATAAAAATTTCTTTTCATGAAGATATAGAATAATTGAAAAAAAAAACCAAAATGAGTACTGTTGTGAGGAACAAACTGCAGAAATCACAGATAATTCCATTTGATATGAACCCCAAATGATTGTTCTTAAATTTTTTGGTTTTAAGAATCTCCTAAATTTGTTCAGGATCCAAAAGACTTCTGTTTATGTGAGAATTAAAAACTATCTACTATATAATATGTTAAAAATCAGAAGCTGGTTTAAACTGTGATTTTTCACTACATTATCATTATTATTATTATTGATTTTTTTAAAGGCAGAATTTCTCTATGTAGCCCTGGCTGGCCTGGAACTCACTCTGTAGGCCAGGCTGGCCTTGAGCTTGGAGATCTGCTCGCTTCTGTCTCCTGAGTGCTGGAATTAAAGGCATGCACCATTACCACCCAAATAAGATATATATTTCTTTCTGGAAAAGCCTGCTGCATCCTCAGTAAGCAATGAAAGAGAATGACAAACGACTCTCAATTACTATGAAAATAGTTTTATAGTCTTGTAGACTTTTCAAAGAACCGAAGGTTCCCAAGAGTTCCAGATTGCACTATGAAAACCAAGCACTCATATGTTCATGATAATTTTATCTGTTATAGCACATACTTTGTAGCATCCTTCTTTAGAAAAATGATTAAGATATAAAAAGTTACAATTTAAACTAAACTCAAGTCCTCTGTATTTATTTTTTTCAATCTTGGGTGAAAAAAGAAGTTCAAGAATAATTATATAGTATGACATCACAATAAAGTCTAAATATACCAAAATATTTAGAATTATTGCTGTAATACTAATTCAAAATTAGAAAGAAATAGAAAACATTAAGTTGTGCTGATCATGTAAAGTGGAAGTTGTGATGACTTTTATGTTTCTGCCTGTTGTATTCGTTAGAATGATTTCTGGGCTGTAACAAAGGGAAAGGATGTGCTAGCTTTAGTCCAGTGAAAACAATGACTTCTTCTTTATTTTGAGGCAGAGTATTGCTGTGTAGCCCAGACTGGCCTGGAACTCACACTCCTCTTAGTTTTGTTTCCCATGTGCTGGGATTACAGGCACACGCCACTGTATTCATCGGGAATAGTGGTAGTTACAGGATGTTGTCCTATTCATCAGAGCATCTAGAGTTTGTTATAAATGCAAACCAGTGAGGAACTCCAGACACACTGAATCAGAATCTTCAGGGTGATGTTAAGAAGGAAGAGGATTACACTAAGCCTCTCAAGACCAAGTTTAAATTCAGTAAGAACAAAGATATACAACCATTCAACCTCCCTTTGCATATAACACACTTAATTCAGAAACAACTTGGCTAATATTGCTTATGATGTTCTTATGAACAAAACAGTTAAGTATGAAAAACAGTTTTGGTGGGAGAAGAAGACATGTTAGAAATTGAACCCATTGAACATATGCTAAGCACAGACTGTATTACTAATCTGCATTTTCAGCCCTTGTCAAATGTTTAAAAAGAATCCTCTCCTTTGACTATTCAGATCTCAGTCAATTTGCTTGGAGGTGCAGCCTTGTTGGAGTAGGTGTGGTCCTGTTGGAGGAAGTGAGTCACTGGAAGTAGGCTTTGAGGTTTCAGAAGTTCAAGCCAAGTCTAGGGGCTCCCTGTCACTTCCTGCTGTCTGTGGATCCAGATGTAGAATGACTCTACAAAGGACAGGTGTACCTTTGCAAAGTGTAGGCAAAATATGTAAGCTGGAGTTTCTGAACAAGAGCAATGGGAGTTATGATTCACCAAAGAATACTGGTTGCTGTTGTAGATTTCTACTCAAGTAAACCTTCCTGAAGCCTGCTGTCCAGTGCTGAAGACCACCATTTAACCACAAATAAGGGAAGATACACCTCTTTCATGGGGTCACAATTCTAATTCAGCCAGCTAAAGAGATAATAGAATCGTCTATCACTTATCAACTATGTCCCTTGTTTATATCTTTTAAAATCACTTTACACATAATTTAACACAATTTATCCACTATCCATGCTTGCACAGAGTAAGTATTAGTATAATGAATGACAGAGAAACATGAATTTTGTTTTTTGTTAGTATTGGAAGACACTGGAGTGATCTGTTGGATAATCCGATAAACATCTATGATGTTTTACTCCCATGGAGAGCTTGTAAGCAACTGTCTGATAAAGTATGGCATTTTTTTTTTACCCTGAGGTAAAGAAGAAGCTGCAGCATCTGAACTGTCTTTGTAGTAAGTGAGTATATCTGAAACTTAATGAGTTGTCATTCTGCTTCTATACAGTTGTCATCATGAACATTCCTTGTCCAAAACCTACCAGCTCTTTGGGTAAATTATAGCCTATTCAATGACTGAAATTATTAGTTAGTATTTGAAATAGTTCTTTCTTAGACAAGGAAGATAAATTTGAAGAGATATATTTACCATATAAATTATATATATGGAAACATTTTTGTGAATTTATGTATATACCTGTAAATATGATTTATTGCTATTGAAATCTGTTTTCATTACAGCATTTATAATAGTAAGTATAAATATTTTGAGAGCAAATAGAAGACAATAGAAATATGTCCAGAAAAATATTTGATTAGGGCTGTTGCTGATATTATCAGAGAAGATGGATATTACTGATAGAAAAAGAAATTCATTTCACAGCTTAATTTTACACCTAAATTTTAAAATAATCAGTATCTGAAGACAGACTACCTTATTTTTTATGTGCCACAAAATGAAGACTAACTGCGGCTAATATATGGATATTTTCAAAAGTCACCCAGCCTTTATGATGGTACATTAAATCAAATCAGACCATGGTTCAACGTGAAGACGGAATCCTCGCATACCTTCATGGGTGCCAGCTGTATGGGAGTGATGCATGATGGATCCACCATGGGCTTGGGCCTGTTGGCTGTGTCTGCTAACAGGCTGTGCCACTGCTGGGGAAGGCCAGTAAATTTCTGCTCCTGTGGATCAAACCCAGTGTGAACCCTGTGTTCGAAGTTGGATGGGCCAGATATTTCAATCTTTTTCTTTTTCTTCCCAAACATGATGTAAAATCCTGTGAAATACAAGAAGAAAACAGGCAGCTCATTATATTTTGCCACCAGAAGATAAAAAAACTTATTTTAATTAATCATCCAGTTACATCATTTTAGTTATCTCTCACAGTACTGATTTCAAAAGATAAAAGTTAGCTTTTTCGGGCTGTATAGATTAGATAATTTCATTCTCAGTCTTTGTTCTTGTCTTGAATGATGCCTGTGGATTACAGTTGCTTGTCCCATGGATGCTGAATTTGGCCTATGTGACCTGCACTGATCAATGGTCTAGATAATGAGCAAGTCGGGTGGGGGTGCTTGGAAGCTCTGTGTGCTCCTACCCCAGTGTACTTGCCATGAAGATTCCTCAGGTAGATTATACTTCCTAATCCTCGGTTTTAGAAGAAGAGATGTATGAAACAGACACAAGCACACACTGGAGTCAAGACCCATCTGAGCCATTGTTAAGCCACAGCTGACAGATGTAAGGATGTTATACATGAAGGGTTATGTTTCCAACTTGTTTCTCATATAGCATTACTGAAGCAAAAGCTGACTGATTCCCAAGGTGAAGCACCTCAAAGTTTGGTATATAGTCAAAATCCAAAACACATATGGGGCAAAATAACATTATATATATATATACATATATATAAAATGAGCTAATGATTACTCAGCATATAAATCAATTATTATAGATAGAAATAAATATTTATCAAATACTTAGAAAATCACCTGGCCAAAGTAGGTAGGTCCTGTAAGTATTAACTGCAGCAAATGGTGACACTGTGCTTCATGGTTCTGGCAGCCTGTGATGTAACTTAGCTTTGAACACTGGGTTATCATGCATTACATGTGAGTACCGTATTTTAGGTGTGTGCTTTTTGACCAGGGGTACTCACCTGTGAGTAGGATAGTGCCATGGAGTTTATAAAAGGTAATAAGAGCCGAGCGGTGGTGGCACACGCCTTTAATCCCAGCACTCGGGAGGCAGAGGCAGGCAGATCTCTGTGAGTTCGAGGCCAGCCTGGTCTACCAAGTGAGTTCCAGGAAAGGCACAAAGCTACACAGAGAAACCCTGTCTTGAAAAAACAAAATAAAACAAAACAAAATGAAACAAAAGGTAGTAAGACTATTTCTTGGGGGACTTAAACATTTACTTTTCTATCTTGGGGATCCTTATAGCAGTGTATAACCGTTCTGACAGGATTGAAGATGTCCTACAGAGAGAGATTTGTGCCCCAGAAATCCCACACTGGGAGAAGGAAAAGGCTGAAGTCTGGTGCTGACCAGAGAGGAGTTTGCCACAGTGCTGAGATTTCACACAGTGCTGTGAATGTGTAAGAGCACTTTTTAGGAGAGACTGGAGAGTGGTGCAGACAGTAGTGACTGCTATACACACTTTTTGCCCTCTATTTAAACCTAAGCCTTATACTAACCCTGGAAGACAGAGCTGGGGTTCACTGGACCTCTTAGTTCATCATAATGTGGCCACATAGACTAAATATTCTTTTTCTGCCTTTCCACATTACTTGTTAGTTTGATTGGTTTATTGGTGATGGGTGACTCAACCTGGCTTGCTAGGATGCTGTTAGGGTGCAAGCATCAGCTCAGATCATTCCAGTGATGATGGCTCAGCTGGTCAGAGCTTTGTGTCTATTAATACCGTCTCTCATTTCCCCCCTTTATTCCATTTTGCTTCTCTTCTTCTTTGGTTAGACTCTCTTCCTTCTTCTCACCATTTATTGCTGTGTTTTAGGTAGTCTCTCTTCTGCCTTCCAGCTCTCTCAAGACCCTACCTTATCTTCCACTTGCATAAACATTCTGTTACAGACATACGATCACCCACAGTCCCAATTCCCTCTCATCTGTTAAAACTGGGCTCTGAAATGTTCCCAAAGGCTCAAGTATTGAAAACTTGGTTCCAGGAGGGTTTGCTATTGAGAGATGATTAGCTCATGTAGGCGTTCAACAGGGCTGTTTGGAAGTGGAATCTGTTGGGTCATACAAATCTTTGATGGGCATATTTTGACTCTGACCCTGGCCCTTGCTTCCTGGTCCACATGAAGAAATTGTGCTCACTGCAATGTTTCTTCTCATTCTAGGACCATTGTCATGGGACTTAGTAACTATGGACTAAGTCCTTGGAACCTGTGAGCCAAAATATGCCTCTCCTTCTTCAAAGTAACTTTCTCAGGTCTTTCATCACAGGAAAAAGATGTGAAGAACATAGAAAAAAGCCCTCTGTCCTTTATGGGTTCTACTTCAGAGTAACCTGGACATCAATGAAAGATGGTAACAGCTCAAATATTTTGTTGATTTTTTTTAACTTTAAAAACATTTAAAAGAAATTATTTAGCTGGGTCTCATTTTCATGCCTTTAACTATATACTTGGCAGGCTGAGGTAGAAAGAATGCCCCAAATTCAAGGCTATTCTGGGCTAAGTAGCAAGTTCTTGTTCAGTCTGATCTACAGACTAAGACCATGTCTAAAAAAAAAACACAAAGTAAAGCAAAACAATAAGAAAAAGAAATTCTTTAGACACTTTAATATATAACATATCACACACTATAAGGGAGTTAATACACACAGGTCTGATGGTCTTGAAACTTGGGCACACTGAACTGGAAGTAAGGAAGTGAAGGAATCAGGAGAAAAGGCTGTTGCAGGAACAGCCTGCAGAGTCTAAGTCCTCTCTCACACTGACTCCAGATTCAGATATATAATTTGCTGTGGTCTGTGGGACCAAAGATAATAGAATACAAGTATTCAATGTGCTGACCATATCAGGGCTTACCCTCTTGCTGCTCTCATAACCTGAGGTCTACATAAGTAAAAAAGCCCTGTTATTCTGTTGGAGCACATGGTCATCTGTCACATCAGCCATCCCTCACTAATCCCCAGCAGTAGAGCTGCTTATTGGATCTGTAGCTCTTTGCATGGGACAGACCATCAGCAGGAAAACTACTCAGATGAGCTGCATCCTCAGTTTCTGACCTGTCAAATCAGGACACAAATACTTTGGACCATTATTTTTGGAAGCTGATTGTTACATATAGACAAGCTAATAAGAACCACCTATCACCTCCTGCATAGCATCTTTATGCACTCATCACTTTTTCAGTTTTTGATGCTCCTAAGTTTCAAATAGAAACATCCAATCTGGGCAGCTACATCAGCTATCACACAATTGCCTTAAATGCAAAAGAGTCTTAATTGTGATGCCATGACCTTGGTAGTTGACTGCTTGGAGCATTTTCAGTTGAAGAAATTTACAAATTATTGACTCTATAAACCACTCTTTGGCTTTATTTGCTGAACATAGAATACATCCAAAAATATAATTTGGTCATTCATTGGCTGAGTCAATCTGACATTTTAGTAGACTTTCATTTTCATAATTTTCAAAAAGAGAAAGTCATTTGGGAAGAGTTTGTTTGTACATATTCAAACCTGAACAAGCAATGAAAATTCTAGAACAAATATTTATAGAACTAGAACAGAGATGTCTTGCTATTTCCTTTTTCTTTGTGAATTTTCCAGAGGCTACTATGACATTCAAGTGAGGGCATATAAAAAGAGAATATAAATGAATTAACAATGTACCTAGGAATGATGAAAAGCAAACCTGTGGCTGAATTAATTTAAGTTTACAACATCCTGTGGTCCTATATGCCATTATTTAAATGTTATTAATCACAGATCAACATAACTAGTAAGATCAAGTTTTCAAAGGAAACAGTTGTGCATGATAGCATATGCCTGAAGTCTCAACACCCAGGAAGGTTGATTGTCACAGGCTTGAATAAATAATGTTCTCCATAGTGAGACCATGTTTCAAAAACAATGAACCAATCATTGGAACAAATTGAGAAAATACAAAACAAACCAGCAATAACAATAAAGAGTCACAGAAGAAGAAATGCAAAAAGAAATTGAAAAAAATAATTCAAAATCCTAAAGCAATATCTTAGTGAAATTCTCATCCGACTGAATCAAAAATAGAATCTCAGAGATTTGTAGTGATGGTCTCTCCACAACACTCATTACAGCTTTCATTCAGATGGAGGATGGAGACAGTGACCTGATGGCCCTGAGCACCAGGTAACAGAGGGACATCCAATAATGATATGGACATATGTTTGGTAGGTATATTTGTCACTTTTCTTGTTGGCATGAGAGAATACCCTGACAAAAGCATGTAAGGAAGGAAGGGTTTCTTTTGTCTCAAAGTTCTGGGGCACAGTACAGCATGGCAGCGAAGTCATGACAAAGTACCTACAGGAAGTTGCTCATTTTGTGTCTACATCAAAAAACAAAGAGAGAGTTTAATGCTAGTGCTCAGCTCATTGCTATTTTATTTTTGTGGGACCCTTACTCATGGAATGGCACTGTCATATTTAAGGTGGCTACTTCCATCTCAATTAATTCTAGAAATTCGCTCATAGACATGCCCAGAGGCTTGTTTCCATGGTGATTCAAATCTCACCAAGTTGAAAATCAAGATTAGCCATCATGGTAGGTGCCACCTTTGTGATGTGTCCATGACTGCTTAGGATACTGAATGTTCAGTGTGTATGATGCCACATTCACAATAACCCTGTGACAGAAATTCTGAGAAGGAACCCACATTTGATGACTTGATAAGAGGACTCATGGATCAGTAGAAACCCATGGCTATGATTTAGTGCAAGGAAAGGATAAAAAATAGGAAGAGGAAAAAGTACACAGACCAAGTCCAGAGGAAGCAAGGCACTAGGTTTCAAAGGCTCTTCTTCAGTGTACTCACATAGGGCATGATTAATTACTGTAACACTAGACAGTGATGTTACAGTGAAATACTGGATATTAGAGAAGCTTCAGGTGGTGCATGAGGATTGTACTCACTGCTGTCACATCTCTGCCTTCAGCCTAGTCTATAATAAAGTTTAAGGCAGAAGGAAAGCAGGGATTCAGTGAAAATTACAGTGTTTTTGCAAACAATGACCAATTCTTCCAAGGGACTGGTGGGAACCTTTC